CATAATACTCATATTACAACATAATACTCATATTACAACATAATACTCATATTACAACATAATACTCATATTACAACATAATACTCATATTACAACATAATACTCATATTACAACATAATACTCATATTACAACATAATACTCATATTACAACATAATACTCATATTACAACATAATACTCATATTACAACATAATACTCATATTACAACATAATACTCATATTACAACATAATACTCATATTACAACATAATACTCATATTACAACATAATACTCATATTACAACATAATACTCATATTACAACATAATACTCATATTACAACATAATACTCATATTACAACATAATACTCATATTACAACATAATACTCATATTACAACATAATACTCATATTACAACATAATACTCATATTACAACATAATACTCATATTACAACATAATACTCATATTACAACATAATACTCATATTACAACATAATACTCATATTACAACATAATACTCATATTACAACATAATACTCATATTACAACATAATACTCATATTACAACATAATACTCATATTACAACATAATACTCATATTACAACATAATACTCATATTACAACATAATACTCATATTACAACATAATACTCATATTACAACATAATACTCATATTACAACATAATACTCATATTACAACATAATACTCATATTACAACATAATACTCATATTACAACATAATACTCATATTACAACATAATACTCATATTACAACATAATACTCATATTACAACATAATACTCATATTACAACATATTACTCATATTACAACATAATACTCATATTACAACATAATACTCATATTACAACATAATACTCATATTACAACATATTACTCATATTACAACATAATACTCATATTACAACATAATACTCATATTACAACATAATACTCATATTACAACATAATACTCATATTACAACATAATACTCATATTACAACATAATACTCATATTACAACATAATACTCATATTACAACATAATACTCATATTACAACATAATACTCATATTACAACATAATACTCATATTACAACATAATACTCATATTACAACATAATACTCATATTACAACATAATACTCATATTACAACATAATACTCATATTACAACATAATACAACATAATACTCATATTACAACATAATACTCATATTACAACATAATACAACATAATACTCATATTACAACATATTACAACATAATACTCATATTACAACATATTACAACATATTACTCATATTACTCTTCTTCGCAAAACGACCTCGGGAAAGAAGAAACCATTGAGATCGCCAACCACTGAATGATGCGCCTTCGAGTGTCAGGACTTCCTGCTGCGTCCAGTTTTGAACTTTTCACCACGCGGTACACGTGCTTTCACAGTTTTCAGCCTTTTTTTTGCAGTGCAAACTGCAATGAAAAGATCGCCGCACCCCGCCGGACGAGCGTTACGAACTTGACGAAAATTTGTCGCATTAGCCTTGGTGCGCGTTACGCCGCACCCCCCTGCGTTACGCGTTACGCGGCAACATATATTGCCAGTACGGTAGTAGTAGTATTCTTTTATTTATAGTGGAGAAACCAAAACAGGCAGATGCCTATTAGAGGTCTAGCCAGGATTTTATGCCAGCCTGCC